CCATGTGCTTGCTCAAGGGGGATTTGTCTTTTTTTGTGATCTGCAATAATAATAATAATAATAATGTCTACACCTTATTATGTAAAGTGGCCTGGGATGATTTTTGTTGTGATTTGGTGCTATACAAATAAAACTGAATGAAATTGAAAAATGAATTGAATTGATACTACAGGAGTATGTGGTCCTGGGCCCATTGTTATGAGCCATCCATCTTTAAATAACTGGCTATGTCCACACTCTCAACTTAATAGAAATCAACTGAACTGTGCTAAGAGATTACTTTGGTGAACAGTAATTACAAGTCAAGAAGTCAAGCACATTCCCAGTGGGTGTTGGTCTCTGCCAGGGTTGCCACTTTTCTACAATTCTGTTTGTGATTTTCATCAACAGGATCTCTTCAGATTGTACTCTGATTAGTCCAAAATCCTCCTGTCATAGTGGGTGTGACAGTAGAATGTTTTTGTTCAACAGGGGTTTGGCAACAAGTAGTGAAATGTAGACGTCATGATTTCAGATTTATCCACTTTGAGACATATGCAGGTTCCAGCGGGTCTTTAGTCATTTTTGTCTTGTGTGATTTTTGCCACTGACTTCAAGGTTCCACCCTTTTTTAGGGCAGTTCACTGAAATGATTGTCTACCAAAGAAGTTTAACAAAAATGAGTTGGTTTATATTAAGTTGTACTTGATACCTTATAGTGTGATTCCCATTATGTGCATATAGTTACAAAAAGACTATTATACAATAGATTCTCAATGTTACGGGCCCCAATGGTGGAGTGGCCGTAGTAGGAAAGAACTTCTGGAAACTGGAAAATAGTATGTATAGTCCATAACCCGGGTAAAGAAGTGGTGGCTGAGGAGACCTGGACGGGCAGGTGAGAAGACAGGAGGACTGAAAGAACCAGGAGAGACAGTGGACCAAGGCAGGCGAGCAGAGGAGAACGACAGGAGGGACAAAAACGAAGGTTCCACTTCACTTTTCATGCTCACTATTAAATCAATAAAGTACTTAAAAATGACACAGTGTGTTGTGTTCTTTACTGTTGCAGTAATGTATTGCTACAAATGTACAGTGAGTACTTCATTAATCAATGCTGAGCTATAATGATACACACAGAGACCAGGCTTGTCGTCAGACGGTGAACTCTTTACTGTATTACTCAGGAACATAACACAGGCCTAACCAATCAACTCATGAGCAACCAATCAGCAGCAGTTAATGTTGAGCACCGAGTGCTCGATGAAATCCATCACACAACGTCTTAATATTAAATGTATACAGTTAGACTGTATGAATTAAATATATTTTTGGCCAATTGCTAAAATAATGTAATAAAGAAAACAATGTGGTAACACATTTTAGGTGCACCACATCAACATTACTACTGAGGGTCACATGTAACTTGCTTTTTATTTCCATGGTACTGTACATCACTGGCAAAAGCCAACACAGGCTGTCCATGATGGAGTGCTCAGGAAATGGTTGCCTTCCTAAGGTTACATGACTTTCTGACCCTCTGTTGGTGGGAGCTCAATGTGTTTCTGATCAGGCTGATGGAAATGATAAGGACAAGACTGCTGCTGGACAGCTCCTTAATTCAATTTCCTCTATACCAAAGCAATGTTTAGCATAACAATGACAAATGGAAGCATGCGCCTGTGAAAGTAAACCATGCCAGCGACCACCCTCTGGGAGTCTGTAGTCTTTACATATGATATCCATAAGAGTGGCCATACTGTAGACTGGAGCTTTTACTGTTTTCACTCAAATGCCAAACATTTTGACTTTATCTGAGTGGCATAATCTAATGAACAAATCCAGATTTAATAGATAGAGCTCTAAATGCAGCCATGTATTTAATTTAAAGATGAGAGACGGAAGCGGATTCTACCAGGCTAAGGTAATGCTGGACTAGTTGCTCTTGCTGCACACTAGCACACTCAAATGTAGCAGCGCTGTGCATAGGGTTAATAAACACACACTAATGGGTCATGAAGTGTGATTTGTCCCATCACTTTCACTTCCACTTCTGGGGGCTTCAAAACCACTATTTCCACTGCTCAGTTTGTTCCTTTCTTTCTTTTTTGTCTCTTGAGAAGAAATTGGGGCAAAATTGCATTGCATCATGGCTCACATTTAATGGTTGATGGACATTTGGGATCAAGTATGATTAACAAAGCTGGATAATGATTTACAGAAACTATCCTTTAATAAAAATGCACCAAACTTTCTAGGAAGGATTAGATTGTAGGCCAGTATGTCCTTAAACTCGTTGCACAAGCAGGATGATTGGCATTCACAGCCTGTTTAGTCTCCATCTGCACAGCTCTGCTGGGTCATTATAACCCAGAAATCAGAATTTAAGTTAACTCAAGACAGGTTTTAAAGTCTGTTTGAAATGTATCCAACCCATTTAAAAATGTTTTATTATAAACAGTATTTAAATCAAAATCAGTCTTCCTGGTGACCTGTTGGTATAAAGCATGGTTTGAATGTTGTTGGCAAATCTTATTGCATTTAATCCCACACTTGCGTTTCATGTGGTTCCTGTTGCGCTGTCTTCTGTGAACCGTTAAGGAAAAGTAAATGATGTTACAAAATATGTAATAAGCACAGGCACTATGTGCAGTTACCTAATTATCCTTATAAAATGAAGTTATTATTAATATTTTTTTGATGTACGCCAAAATACATGCCAAGCAAAATGAGTTGAGGACTGGATGGTAGAGTGAACTTCCTCTCGATGTCTGCATGTGTGTCAGATGCCTGTAAGCAAAAATAATTTTATTCAGTGTGTACAATCACAAGAATCTTTCAGTAATCACTGATACAAATACTCACATCTTAAGAACAATACCTCGTCTCCCTTCTGAAAGTCTTCCTTCCTTCCAGTTGAACAGTGCCTGTAGCACAAGTAAAGACACATTAGCTATAGCTTCAGGCCCTGTCCACACGGCAACGCATACTTTCGTTAAAACGCAGACTTTAGTACGCTTTAAAACGCTGTAGCTGGCGTTTTCAAAAGGGGGATACAAAAATGAAAATACAAAACGTGAAAATACAAAAATGGATGAATGGGCACTGGATAAATTACATTACCTTAATGTGGTTGAGTTCCAGGTGGAGCAT